GAGCTACCAGACAGGAGCCTTGCCCTGCCCTCCAAGGCCACGAGAGGAGGAGGAGCTCAAGGAAAACCTAGAGGAAGATGCAGGTTCTATCTCTGGTGAGACGGTGCCTTCAGATGCAGACTTTCTGTTGGGCATGGCCACCGTGCAAGATTGCAAGTCATTTCGAAACACTTACACAGGTTCCATCTACATCCAGGAGTTGTGCAAGCAGCTGGAGAAATCAGCTGAAAGGTGAGAGCCACCTCCACTCAAAGTTAAAGCCAAAGAGCGTAGGTAGAGCTTGGTCTATTATTAACACTAAGATGACCCCTAGTGTAACCACTACCTGTTGTAAGCATGATAACTTACTGACTCCTAAAGAAATAGCTGGCTCTATAATGTGCTGTGCATCATTTAAATCTGTGTTAACCAGTGCACAGTTATATGAAGAACTGAGATGTTTGTTCAGCTGTGATGAAATGTGCTGCAATGAGTTAATGAAGAGTTTTTGGTGTTTTCAGATGTCTGCTGTGCTGATGATGTGACAGGGAATAATACTGTATGAGAGTATACCAACAATTTTTGCAAGATTTTTCACCTGTAATGTGTTTTCTGGTGTGTTCTGTGCAGTTCGGAGATGGATGACATTCTCACTGTCCTGACGCGTGTGAACAGGGAGGTCAGCAAAGGACTGTATAAAAACCAGAAACAAATGCCAGAGCCCAAATACACTCTGACGAAGAAGCTTGTCCTCAGATTTGTGTGAGCTGACAGGCAGAGCCACATAAGGCGTGTGTGACTATTGGGTGTGTTTTTAGTCTCTCTCTGTGTAACAAATGGATGGATGATTTTGAATGTCTGACTTTATAGTTGTTGTGAGAAGCCAGTGTCAATCTTGAGAACAAAGAAAAAAACATGACCAATAAATGTATTTCAGAAAAAAAAGGGGTTTTTTGAAATATCTGTAATGACCCCATATTGTTTATTAAAAAATAAAAAAGACATTGTATGGCAACAGTTTCTTTTTGTCAAGGTACACCAGTATTACAGACCACAGCAAAAGAGCTGAACTTCAGCCACTGTGTTGTGTCCCATTGTAGTTGTTTTAGCCATCTTGTGTTAATTTGTACTCTTTTGCGTGTCCTTTTTCTTGTTTTCTGGCTTTCTGTAGTTGTTTTGTAGTCATTGCATAGACTTTCAAATGGAAAGGTTAACAGTTCCTACATGGTTCTCTGGTCTGTAGGGTCCCCATGACGCACTGGGCCTGTGCCCAGTAGGTCCATTCACTTATCTGTCCATGATTCAAATCCCTCATTTAAGTAGAAGCAACAATATCAAAGTGTGAAAAAATAGTTTTGCAGTATTTTACTTGATTAGGGTGTATACGTTTCCAGTAAAGGACTGATGAGGTCATATGCAGAGTGTAAACTGTGCTTTAAGACTGAAGCTGCTCCAGGTAAAGAACTAGTATATCTTACAGTAGATCTATCACCTGTCTGCCTCGTTTTGAAAGCAAAACCTGCTGTCAGATCAATGCAAAGGAGTAAAAACTACGATTAATTGGAAAATATATTTGATTACACTGAAAGGGAACTCTCAAATAATCTAGTAGTACAACCCTGTACTTAGGTGCAGTACTTTGAAGTGCCTGTTGAAAATGAGTCAGCCAAGTCTGACGGGTCTTGTTGCACACACAAATACACATCCTGTGGATGTGGGTGTGCATATCAGATTCCTGTGGACTCCACCCTACACTTCACTGTTCCATGAAATGTTTCAGTTGCTGGGCCACATCTGGCAGCTGCTGCTCCACACGCACCAGTGCAGGCTGCGGAAACAGTTCACATCAAGACGTTTTACGGCTGTCCTGTGCACTTGGGAGTTTCCCTAAACGGCGGACTAACGTTTATTAACGTCTCTCGTTAACGGGAGAAAGCGTCTCAGTTTTCCGATTTTGTCGCTGAGAACCAACGCGGCCAGACGGTTTCTTGAGTTGGCGCCTCCTCCTTGGTAAGTAGAGCTCATTTTAACATCTTATTTCCGTACAGAGTTGACGTGAACTACTGCTAGAAGTCTGCCGAACGGCAACCCGTCATCAGGTAGCCCTGAATTTGTGTAGCCGTGTTTGTGCTGCAGGCTACCTCACCTGAAAGGGCTTTTTGTGAGCTGGTCCTGGTCGAGGGGAGGGTGGAGCGCGTTCAGTCTATGGCAGGCGGTGTTAGCATGCGAAGGGTTTCACTTGAATGTCCAGGAGTGTATTTTGGATATCTAAAACGGCATTCTGATTAGTCTAACCTACAGTGTGACTAGTCAAAATGATCATTCAAGATATCTACAAGTGTATCTGACCAGTAAGAATAACGATTTCAACTATCTACGACCGGGGCTTCAAACTCAATGACACGGGGGCCAAAACTCAAAGCACACTTTAGGTCACGGGCCGAACAGGATAAACATTTATTGAACAGACTAAAACTAAACATTTTTTGAACATAAATATGAATCGAAACAGACAGGATACAATATTATTCCAAAATAAACTTGAACTTTAAATCAGCAACCGTATTTCTGCTAAGGCTTACATTAGCAAACACCTGCTTTTTGTCTGGACACCAGACGTCTCACACTTTCATCATGCAGCTCTTCAGAAACTCTCCCTCGGTAAATGTCCGGCCTGATTTTCTCCTCTGCTCCAATAAAACTTATTTCACAGCAGCTTCACTGTTTGATTTCACTTTGGTGAAAACGTCTGCTGTGATGTCAGATTCCTCTTTCAGCCTCCCACCGGTTTAGAAAGGCTCTGTTTTCAGAATCAACTTTCCTCTTGGCCATTGTTAGGGGGCTAGGTCTGACTTGAAATTAGGGTTGTATACATCAACAGACGTTTGATTGACCTGACGTAATTGACGCAGGAATGATCGCAGGTTGCCTATCGTTTGGTAAGGCAGCTGTTGCGCTGCATTATGGGATTTGTAGTTTGTGTGTTATCGGCGCTTCATATCGCAGGGCCATTAAAAAAACAAGATGTATGAACTCGCGGGCGTTGAGTTTGACACATGGGATCTACGATTACGTTTCGACTGGTCAGTTCCGGTTTGCGTATCCGAAATTACGTCACTGCGCCGTTTTGGCATTTATTAGATCAACATAATTAATATTACAGATATCTATCCGATATTTACGACTAATCAAAATGATCAGTTTAGATATCTACAAATCAGTTTTGACTAGACAAAATTTGAATTGAAGATGTCTGCAATTACATTTTGACTAGTAAGAATTCCTAATTCACTTGAATGGGAAAACTAATTTTAAGATATGTGCAATTTAATTCTGCCTGTCTAAAAGTACATCCTGTCCACCTATTTAATGTTAAAAAGGGCTTTCCATAGCAGTCCTCCTGATAGGAAGTACAGCCATTTCAGTTAACAGTCGAGTAAACTTTAAAGATTAAAGTTTATCTTCATGTCTTAACTTGGTTGAAATACTGAACAGCGGGTGATGCCCATTTTCTGTTGTGCATATTTCGGAAGTGAATGTCCGCATGCATGAATGTTGTTGCAGCTAACACTGACTTTTGCACAGTGTTACTGTGTATTGGTTACTGGCATTGTTTGTTTAATTTACTGTGGTGCTGCTGCAACACAGGACCAAGTTACACGTCCGACATTTCGCCTCATCGTGGCAGGAAACCCACATGTTACCAGTAACATTAATGTTGGGTTAATCTCTGCTAAGTGTCTTTACCACAGATCAGAAACAGGAGTGTATTTGTTCAGGAATTAGAAACATCTGTCTCTTCACATCTGAGTGCACTTGTTCAGTGATGGGCATATTCCTCTTGGTTCTATCATTTAGCTGTTAATCACCACCCACACACACACTTAGGAATGTATATGAAGGGGACACTCCTGTTGAAATGGCTGACCTTCAGTAAGGAACTGCATGAAAATTACTGAGGTAGTAAGGGTGAGCGAACTTTGTTTCACTTTGTTGAAAAGCCTTTCCAGGTTTATTAATGTTTCTATGCACTCTACTTAAAAGACACCATCATCCCCACAACATGTCACAAATAAGTACAGTGTGTTTCTGTAGCTCAATTTAAACCTTATACTAATGTCCACCACCAATGTATGCATTAATAAAACCCAGATAAGAGGCAGAATTTTTGCGAACGTAGTATTTGTGCTGTAACAATTTTTATAAGGTTACAACTGCTGCAAATGTATTTTTATTATCCATTAATGTTTTTTGTTTTGTTTTTTTGTTGTTGTTGTTGTTGTTGTTGTTGTTGTTGTTTTTTGATGAATTTTTTGGTTTCCCAGACTACTTGGGAGAGGGCCTCCAATGCATGCCTTATTTTCAGCAGCCCAAACCCCAAAGATATTCAGTTTACTATAAAGAATGTAAAGGTACGTCAGGCTGTGTTGAATGTTGGGAAAGGGGGGGTGCACCATTCTAGGAGGTAGACGCTGTATTTACCTGCAAACATTCTTGTTTTGCTTGGCTAAAAAGTTGCTTAAATCATTTAGATCTCACTTTACTGACTGTGGTAATTCAGAATGGGAAACCTTAGCTGATTCTGATCTCAGCTCTCAGTTCAGGAGCTCACGCTAGCTGGCAGCTGCTGGCAGATGGCACGAACACTGCAGATGGATCAGTTTCTGTCCTGTCTGTGCTCAGACTGAGCATTAAAGTGGACTTTTGGACATAGTTCAAGCATCCGCTACTGTACGTAGCTGTATTGGATAGTATTTATTTTTTTAATTAACTTGAATGGTGCATTTACACAAAATTCAACACAGCATGATGACAACTTCACATTCTCTTTAATACAGTCTCAATAAGAAGTCTGTGTGAATTAAAATATCATCTTGTCTCATGAGCTAAGTATATTGCCATGCCCCTACTAAACACTGAAGTAAATCTACTACAGAATGGCTTCAGAGACACAAAAGCAGGTGGATTTTGGAGTGGCCGGTCAGAGCCCAGACCTCAACCCAATAGAGATGCTGTGGAATGACCTCAAGAGAGCCGTTCACACCACAGGTCCTATGAATATGGTTGAGCTGAAGTTGTTCTGTGAGGAAGAACGGTCTGAAATTCCTCCTGAATGTTATGAAGGTCTAATCCACAGCCAAAGGAAGAGCTTTGGGGGTCATCTTGTACCAGTGAGGCAATGAAGTACAATCAAAGAAGACAAAGTTGGAGAAGCAGATTTCATCAGTTAAAGCTTATTGGAAGTCAAAATACAATAGGAATGTGCAACTCTGGAAAGTTGTCATGTGGCAGCTGTTTGTTGATAATCTTGAGCAAAACAGCAGAAATGGCAACAGTGTTCATGTTATTCCATCAGCATGGTGCTAGTCCCCGATGTGTAAATGCACTTCCCCCATTGAAATGAATGAGAAGGACTGCATTCTTTTCCTACAGGACAAATGTGTCTGAATCCTTCTGAATTAGCTAGTCTTTGCAGCTTTAAACTATTAGCTGTATTGCAGCTTGTATAAATTTGGGACAAACAAAAAAGAATAAAGTAACTCCTCCCAGCTCTCCCAAAAAGAAAAGTCAGACAACCCTAACTTCAACCAAAGGAAATATTACAGTACCCTCCTTGTTTTCTGGCCCCCTCACCTTCTAATAACTTTTGTACTATCCATAATGGTCACCTACAGACCTTAAACCTACTGTGGACAAATAATAGAAGCACTTTGCAGTTAAAAAAAGAACACAATAAATGTATGCAGGTAATTTGGTCACTTTCAAATCTATTTATAAACTCTGTAGAATGACATGATTTGGAAGGAAGTGACAAAAACAATACAAGAAGATTTAGTCAAAAACATAAGACACATCATGGGTTATTTGCTCTTCAACAGCCTCAGATATTATGATGTGAAATCAAACCCTTGAACTGTGACAAAACAAAAGCAAAAATGATCAACTTTGCTAAACCAGTTCTGCCTGTTACTGTCCTGTGAGGTATTACTGTAATCTGTCCATCCACGTGACTTGACAGGCAAGCAATAAATACACTCAGATGTGAGAACAAGCAGGTAGAATAAGATCCCATCGTTTTTACCAGTGATGTGCAAAGCAATATGCTGTTTGAGGAATTGTGGTTTGTTTTATGGTGACATCAGGGTGCCTACCTATCGTTTTTACCAGTGATGTGCAAAGCAATATGCTGTTTGAGGAATTGTGGTTTGTTTTATGAAAGGAAACAAACATATTATGGTGACATCAGGGTGCCTACCGTACAGCACTGACTCAGAACCACGTGATGATTTGAGTGTTAGTGGTGATGATGAAAATCGGTCATGGGAAATCAACATCAGGCACAAGCTTGGGCTTGTTTGTAGCTACAGTTCACTTGTTAACCTCTGTGACGTTTTCTAAATGTTACATTTCTTAGAGCAGAGTTACACCCTCCTGTTCAAATACACACACGCCTTAAGTCCTGTTGTATGCTAACAGTGTTTCAATGACCAAGAAGTGATCAACTCTGTTTGAGTGCAGATACTCTGAAACCCTGTTTCCATTTAGTGGTTTCTGTCCTGTTGCTGAGTGATTGGGGTCTGGTGTAATGGCAGCGCAGGGTGGAGCCAGCATTTGAATTCCTTTACTGTGTGTACTCCCCCAAAGTGTCCCAGTGAAAATGAAGCTCTGAGAACATTTGGTATTTTTTAAATAGCTGCAGGAGAATGCCAGGAAACACAGCTTTGCCGCTGTCTTTTTTTGTTTGTTTTTAATACAATGGCTAAGTATCTGCTGTAGTGAGGAATGAACTGACAAGATCATCTGCAAAATGTGGAGTGCTAATCCATGGTGGATAGATGTTTAAAATCTAAATGAGCCTCAGCGAAAAAGTCATTTAGTATCCTGTAAAAGTACCATGACTCATTGAAGGAGCGTGGAGTAGCTGGTGCATGTGTGACTGTACTGTGTGTGTAGTTGTATGGCTTTATTTTGAGAAATTTCCCTCCAAGATCTATGTGGGGGGGTTCTGACATTTCAAAGCAAAAGCATATGTTCACTTTAACCTGATGCAGCCCTGAATGTGTCCTACAAGCCAAGCTCAAGTCTGTTACCCTGCCAGATCTAGGTGGTGTATAAATACATGTGCACAATTTACAGGCCGTGCTTTTTAAGAGTTACTGAAGACTGTGTACTTTTTTTTTTTTTTTTGAACTGTCATAGATTTTTCTGTGCTAAGGATTCAGTGGAAGCCACTGTATACTTTTAATGCCCTTGGCTGCGGATTTGAAAATCAATGAGCAGGACTGCTTTATTCCATTAACAGATTTTTTTTAACGCCAGTGTGGTGAAGTACCTTTATTGTGGTTTTTATTTCAGAAAATGTACACTTCACACTATTTAACACTATATGATGTATAGATATAGCAATATACAATGACTTATGGTGCTCATCTTTCAAAAGCAGAAATCCTTCTGTCAGTGAACAAGTCAGCCTTGTCAAAATGAAATGTTCCACTAGCACCGTGAGAGTCAAGCTTCTCTAAATGTTTAGTTGTTTCAGCACTTACGTTTGATTGCGATTCAATGTAATGTAACGTCATTCAAACTGCTTTCCTCTAATTCACAGAGTATGGTGGTAGGAACTTTGTCACATCCATGGCTGATGTGGGACACCCCCCCCCCATTAGTGAAGTTCAGGTTGCATCTGACAACCTCGTTATCAATTTACAGTAGACCTACAGTATTCATACCCCTGCACTGTAAATTCATTTTGAATTTGGGTGGGGGTGGGTTAAAATGCAGTAAAATGTGCAAAATGTGAAGAAGTGTATACTTCAGTATGAATGTGGAGTTATTAACAGTTGAGGGCTCGTCTTTTAACAAGTGCATTAACTAATGTCATGTGATATGAACAGTGAATAATTCCTAAATGTTTTGGAATAAGCAACTGATCTAGTTTGATCAAAAGGACATATACAATTCAAACTTGTTCCAGTTGTAGACAAGTGGACTTAATCATTTTCTGAAATGTGTTAACTAATTGCTGTCTCTAGGAAAAGAATGAGAAATGCTGTTATGTTGTGGAGAACAAAACTAAATGTTGTGGAGAAGGCCATTTAAATGTTGAGCCAAATGGAGAAAAGGTTTAAAGGATTTTTTTTTATTTTTGGTCACATGGAGGCAGCACAATAAGCAGTAATCATATTAATATATGATATTTGTTGCTGATAGCAAACATCAGGGCTACTGTATTCCCCTGAAAACAGCTGCTTGCTGTAGCTTGGCCTAAACAGTAAAGTTGAAGGCTGGAAAACCAAAACAATGAGCTGAAAAATGCTAAAGTGCTCTGATGGAGCGGGTGATAAATATGTGTTTGTCACTACGATGCCTTTCACATTCACTTAGTCATTTCATCTAATCATAATAAAAATAAGATTTGATCCGAGCAGCATTAAAGGCTCACAAACCTGCTGATACCTAAACAAAATCAGGGGAAAACCAAAACTGGCCAATAATGTTAGCCGTGTCGTTGTGGCCTCCTTGTTGTTTGTTCTCTACTGTTCAGTCACTCTGTTGTTGGCTCTGTACATAGAACTCTGAAACAGATATGAATTGTGTTTTTTTCCTATTTCCTGTCCTCACAGGTGAAATGTCCAAGTCAGACTACCCTCCAGGGTACGACTCCCATGGCCCAATGTACGCACCTCAGGGTGGGGGTTACCCACCACCCCCTGCATATGGCTTTCCTGACTACGCTGGTACCCAGCCAGGCCAGCCCTCTGCTCCTTACGCCCCTGGACCAAACACCCCTCTGTTCCCAGGCCAGCCAGGGGGCTATCCTCAGGCCCCATACCCAGGCCAGCCAGGGGGCTATCCTCAGGCCCCATACCCAGGACAGCCTCACCCTGCTGGTCCTCCAGGAGCAGGCTACCCCAGCCCTCCTCCCATGCCTGTCATCCCACCAACCATACCATCAGATGTCTTGAGCTCTGGTAAGATGTGGTGCTTCTGTGGAACTAAAGTGCATAAATATGTAAGGTAAATAAATATGCCATAACTCATTAAAACATAGCCTTATTGACCTGGTTGGAACACCACCAGACAGATTAGGAAATTGTACTTATTTGCTTTTGGTCCATTAAATATGAAGCTACAGTCAGGAGACAATGCTTAGCTTGCCATAAAGACAAACAATCTCATGGACTAAAAAAAGCTGGACAACTAACCTAAATCTGTTCCAAGGTAACTGAGTGATTAAATTGTATCTTGCCTTTATGTTAAGCTAACCATCTCTTGATCATAGCTTCCTATTACATACACAGTTAGAAGTGTTATCAAGCTGCTCATGTTACTCTCAGAAGAAGAAATGAATTTTGCAACAGTGTCAAACCATCATTTTAAACTTTAGTTGAGGTTGCGGTGACAGTATGATGTCTTGTAATGTTACGTTCCTTGTTGCTCTTTGTGGTCAGTGCTTATGTTTCTGTTCTGCTGATGACTCAGGTGATGAGTTTGCTGCAAGTGGGAGCGGTTGGGACAGTCTGAGCATTCGGCATGCCTTCATCAGAAAGGTAAAACCCAGCTGTTACACACACACATCATGGTGGCTGAGCCACAGTTTGTTTCTGTCACTGACTACTGTTAAATTGGAATCACAAAGATTTTTGAAAGATAAATCGCTGGTTATCTTCAGATAACAGAAGGTTGTTTAGCAATGCTTAATTTTGAAGGCATTTACATACTTGTCAAAGACTGTTCAAATTATGTGGATCCAAGTATTCTGTTAAAAAGGTATTAACCTGTTTATGAGCTGCAACAATTTCCAAACAGAAGTGACATACTTCTTGATCAGTTTGTGTCATCTATAGTACATACATACTGTAGATCAATGAGACAGAGATATAGACTGAATTGATGTAATATTTCAACATATAATTATCTGTTTATTGTCATACAAAATGAAAAATAAGATATTTAAGACAGAATGGGGCTAATGTTGTCATAAAATGGAGTGAATGCCAAGAGGAGAGGCTATGGGGTGTAATGTCTCTTTTGTATGCACGTGTTTTTCAGGTGTACTTGATTTTGGGTTTCCAGCTCCTCATCACCACAGGCGTTGTGGCCGTATTCACATTTGTGTGAGTATATATCGTGTGTGTGTGTGTGTATGTGTGGCTCTTTGTTTTGTCAGAGTGCATCATGCTGTAACCGTGCCTCTGTGTCTCACAGCCAACCTGTCAAAGATTTTGTAGGGCGTTATCCAGCTGTCTACTGGGTATCATAGTAAGTCTCACTCTTTAGTAGCACCAGGAGCTTTTAAGTGATATGGTTTTATAAGAATCACAATTAAAGGTCACAAGTATTGTCTGAACTGTCTGGGCATTTTGTTTTAGTGCTGTGTATATCATCACCCACCTTGTTCTGGTCTGCTGTAAGGGCCCCCGGTGAGTGGAACTGCTCAGTTTTACAAAGGCTGAGAAAGACTATTTATTTGTACAAAGAATATTTTTAAAGCTGTATTTAATCATCTGATCTATTTTTGTAGGAGGAAGTTCCCATGGAATGTCATTCTGCTGTTCATCTTTGTAAGTCTGAAGACTTGCGGCTGACTCATGAATCAGGAAATAGAGACGCACCATCATTACTGACAGTTTCCTGGACTTGGTTCAAGTCTGTTCTTAGACTTAAATACAGTAACTTTTATTTCCATTAGCCAGCAGTAGTGTTGTTTCAGTGCTACAAGGGTGACTTTGATATTACAGCTAAGCAGTGAGTCACCACACTTGTCTTGGGCAGTGTTTGCATAATTCCTGGTATTTGGTATTTGTGTTTTATCAGCTCAGGGAGTGAAGTGGCTGGACACACTGTTGGTATTCAGCTTTGTGGCGGTGTCTCTGATATTGCTGAGTCATTTCTAGATGTAACATTTTGCCCTGAAAGGCGTAGTCCAGCCCCGCTACAGTCGTTTTCCTCCTCTTATAACTATTTCAGTCCACTTTGCATTACAGGGTGGTACTGTACCAGAGTTTGGACACAATGTCTCATTCATTGGTTTCTCTTTGTTTCTGTTTGTTTCTACACTGTGGGTGAATAGTGAAGACATCAAAATTATGAAATAACACCATATGGAATTATGCAAGCAAAAATAAAAATAAAAAAGCAAGATATAATTGAAATGCTAGAATCTTTAACAGTTTTGCACCCAACCAGCATCATGAGCTAATCCCCATGCTTTTCTGGAAGGAGTTCCCACATATGCAGAACACTTGTTGGCTGCTTTCCCTTTGCTGTATGGTCCACCCATCTCCCCTGGGTTTAGGTTGGTGACTGTGGAGGACAGGTCATTTCCATCACTCTATTTCATGGTTAAATACCACTGGTATAGCCTGTAGGTGTGTTCTGGGGCATCGTCTGGTTGAAAAACAAATGATGGTTAAGCTCAGATTTAAACTGCTATCATGTCCATTCCTTGTGTTTTCTCGACCCATGAGATTCTCTTCTTCTGCTCGTTCCACCTGTAGTGTTTTCTTTGCAGTAATTGGCCCATGAAGGCCTGATTCACCGTGTTTCCTTTAAACAGTTTAACTTGACATCTGTCTGCTGCTTGAGCTCTGACCTGAGGTGGTTTCTGAGGATGCAAAAGCTAATGAAACTCCTGATCTTTCATCCTCCTGTGAGGCAGTTTCTTCAAAGCGTTTAATGGTTTTTACAACCGCACTGAAGTCTTTCAGACTCACTGGCCATCATGCCTTAAATAATGACAGTGTTGTTTGTCTTTACTCAGTTGAGTGGTTTCATCCATAATATGAGTTACAACAGCAGTCAAATCGGGCTATTTGCTGAATACCAACACTACTTCAGCACAGCACAACTGATGGCCTCAAATGCATTAAACAGGCCAGAAATGCCACAGATTAACTTTAGAACCATTCCAGGTGACTATATCGTGAAGCTGGTTAAGGTTTGCTATATAATTCCATGTGTTGTATTTCATAGTTATTACTGTCTTCAACAATATAGATAATATAAACAAAGAAAACCACTGAATGAGGTGTGTTCAAACCTTTGACCAGTACTTTATATGTTAACATGATGTATTAATACTTATTTGTGTGGATGATTCCAGTTTTCTGCATATTTTTTCTGTCCAGGCTTTGCATAGCTTAGGACAGTTACTGTTGCTGTCCTAAATTGTCTGTTGTTCTTCCTAAAACTTTGTGATGTAACTATATTTGTATTTTTTTAATAGACACTGGCTTTGTCCTACATGACTGGAACCATAAAAAAAAAAAAAAAAAAAAAAATGTCATGCAGTGTTGTGTAAACATCCAGCTAGTTTCCACCAGTATTAACTGACGTTTTTTCTGTTTAGTTACTATGACACAAAGACAGTGTTTCTTGCTCTTGTTATCACTGCCATTGTTTGCATCGCCGTCACAGTCTTCTGCTTCCAAACTAAGGTAGGATGTGTGCATGTGCATGTGAGTGCTTATCAAATGGCCGCTGTGCATTTGTGTGGTTATACATGTATTGACGCTGCTGTTGGTGGTTTCTCTTTCCAAAAGGTGGACTTCACAAAGTGCCAGGGCCTCTTCTGTGTCCTTGGGATCGTAATATTTGTGACTGGCATCATTACAGCCATTGTGCTCTCCTTCAAATATGTGAGTTAACACTGATGTAAACAAAACAGTGTTTCCCAACAACAGACTTCTTCAGGTTTTCATCACTGTAATGACTGTTTGTTGTTGCAGATTCCTTGGTTGCATATGCTTTATGCAGCTTTGGGAGCCATAGTCTTCACGTTGGTGAGTACTTTTACTTAGATGCAAACCAAGTGTTTCAACAATTTGTACATCAGACTTCCACTTTGCAGCGTTTCACTGTTGTCTGTGTTGTGTAGTTCCTAGCGTACCACACGCAGCTGCTGATAGGGAACAGGAAGCACTCCATCAGTCCAGAGGAGTACGTGTTCGCCGCGCTCTCCATTTATGTTGATATCATCCAGATCTTCATTTTCCTGCTGCAGATTATCGGTGCTTCGTCCAAATAAGTCCACAAGGGTGCAGCTTGGGTCAACAGTTTGCAGACAAGCACCAAGCTACTTTTTTTTTTTTTGAAAAACACCTTCACTTTGTTTTCAGTCAGATTCATATACTGTACATTTTTATTACCTTTTAAAACTCCATCGAACATATCTAAGGGCTGAATTTGAGGTTTTGTCATAGGGTGGGCTAATCCTATGCATAACAAAGCACTTTTTAAAAATATTTCTTTATCTGCATTAATCAACTTACTAGTCGTTAGCAAAGAACATTTACTGTGTATACAGTGTTAGTATCTACAGTTAGTGGAATGCCTGCTTTTTTCACTCTGACTGGACTTAAGGCAGTATCTGAACTATTTCCCCTGCATGTAGATGTACTGCTATACTGTACATGACTGATTCCCAGCTGTATAAATGTTGAGAAAATGGGAAAATGTTTGCGCTATGTTCAAACTCAGATTTGGCTTTAAAGTACACTGGGGGTGGGCGTTATCCAAATATTTGGTTTTGATGTAACACTGAGCCGGGGTCACGATATCTACACTGATACTTTTTTCAATAAAATGGGGTTAGGGGGCAGAAATGTCTTGATATGGCTGCTTCTAAATACCTGTCAATTACCACAGAATACAAATGTTAAGCATTTCTCTTTGCTATTCTCTGTAAATCACTGAAAGGAGTAGTGTGACATTTTTGGAAAAACCCTTTCATTTCTTGCCCTGAGTCAGATGAGAAGACTGAAAACTGCTAAAATAAAAAAAATATAGCCAGCAGATGGTTAGCTTAGCACAACGCTGGAAACGGATGTTTTCACATAAAAAATATCAGATCTAACCACCAGCACCTCTAAAGTTCTTTATTATTATTAATCCTAAAACCTCAGGTTGTACTTTTATGGGTGTTAAATGCCTTCTTCTTGACTGTCATCTGTAACTTCCTGAAATACTGCTGGACATGTAATTTGTTCACATTAAACAAAGAGATGTGTTGTGAGCGCTAGAGGTGCTGGTACCTTTGGAGAGAACCAGGCTAGCCATCTATAGCCGTTAGCTCCTTTTCGCTTCTTATGGATATGAAAGTGGTTTTGTCTCCTCCCCCTCCGAGCCAGAAAGTGAACAAGCATATTTCTCAAGAAATTGGAACTATTGATTTAATTAGATGCATGTTAAAAGGCAAAATGGGGTTTAATGGTTTGTGTGAACTCAATGTAAAGTGTAGCATTTGATATTGATCATAACGTCTCTAGTATGAATAGTCAAAACACGTCCTGTTAGTCCAGATTCTTTAGGGACTGATATGCCCACCCCTGAGCTACAGCTCTGTAATGACAGCCCTCAGCCTGCTGTCATGGGTTTATGTTAGAGCAGCGAACCTTTTGCTGGAGGTCTGCAATATGTTTTGCTAAAGTATAACCATTTACATATTACATCACTATAGTGCCTTCACATTCTGATGTTTCTTAGATACTTTTTAACTTTAAGGTGTAAAGGGTTATACTCAGTGAAATTTTTTATAGTGTTGTTACATACTGTACGTGCCTGTTTCTATATTCCTACAGATAAAATGTGTCTGATACCGAGTACCAGCAGGGTGGGTTTTTCCATACAGGACAGCCCAATCAATACCATGGTAATAAATTACCAGAGCATTTCTGAAGGTTTGTGAGACTCCTAACATGATCAGTCCCACCTAGCTGGTCCTCCACACTACCCTATTTGTAATCAGTATAAACCCAAGGCAGAGTTACATACATATACATACTGTATGTGTAGAGCAGGAGATCAGTAGGGGTCTGGGTCTGTAAATAATACTTCTGCTTTTTCATACCCAATAAATGACTTTTATTTCAAAGTTTTGATGTGGTTCATATCCAGCTATACCAGTTATTCCTGTTTGCATAAGCATACATTTGTATACATTTTCATTTGCTGTATTGCCTTATTGTTTATAAAATACCAACATAGTGATCAATGAATATGTGGTCATTCTCCAGTTTTAATGATGTGGTTAAACCATCTTTGTACATGAACAAGGAAAATTAAGTATGCAAAGAAAATAACTTCTAAAGTCAGCTCAGGAAGTTGACATCTCTTATGTAACCAGTCTTACAGAGGAATCTCCACCTCAGTAGTGGCATTCAGGATATGGTGCATACATGCATGTTACCGGTCGGGGTTAACATTCTCTCTAGGATGGGAGTAGCGACTGCCTTCATATTCTCCCTCATTTGCCTTTTTCATCCTCTGTCGAACCTTCAGCTGCTTCAATCGGTTTTTGTCCACTTGTCTCTTGGCCAGGAGGAAGCCAATGATACCTGTGGGGAGGCCTATCATCCTGAACAGATGAGACAGACAAATATTTTGCTCAGTAATCCACCTGTCCACACAGACTGTCAGCATCTTGTAGCTTGTTTATCAATTAGGGTAGAATGAATGTAGGATTTGTTGCAGTTCTGGTGTATTAATAGTTTTAGGAGTTTGCAATAAACTGGCAGCCGGGCCCTATTCAGCTGTAGTATTTCCAACTATAAACACCAATTCTTCTGTCAGCCTGACAAATGTTAGTTGTCAGTGTCTGTCTACCAGCTGTCACTATATGCACCAGTACTTAAAAATAATCAAAATGCTAAGAATAAATAATTTAGTAGATCTGGCACACACACATATGTGCAAAACATCAAGCCGCTTTGTGTACAACTACGCTAACTAAAGCTACTACAACAGCAACACTGATAACGCAGAATGTTATGTGAGGCACAATGCAACAAAAAGTTAAAGAACTCAATGTGCAGTTATATTCATGTAGAAACAGGTTTAATTGTCTCAGTGAAGACAACAGGCTTTGTTTGAAGGCAACATCCATTTCCTGTTTTACAGCTCAATATGACTGAGCAGCTACACTTTTTAGTAAAACATTGCCTTCATTTCTGATGGGTTCTTAAGTTTGGATTACACACACTGATCACACAGTTCAAGCAACAGCTGTCTAAAACAGTCTAGACAAAAACTAAACATTATCACCTTCAAACCAGCCTGTCTCAGGGCTGATACACCTAGCATAGCTCACTGGAAATCTACAAGTCCTGTTAGAGCCTGTGTAGGAGAGAAAAGACCCACCAGGCATAGCCAATCTTCATCATGGGGTTTTTGGCCTTCCGCCTGGGGATGTACTCCGGGCGCCTCAGCTCCGCCTCGGCTCTGTTGTGGTCGGTCTGGGGGTTTCTCTGTGGCTCTGTGTTGGAGCTACACCGGGAGGCAGCAGGGGAGACATGTAGCGGCCGATACCGTGAAGCCTGAAGCCGCAAACGCTGACAAACTACTGAAGTTTGGCTGGTGTGGGTGAGGAGCCACGAGGCAGGAACAAAGTGTAAACCTAGGCAGGGGAAGAGACTCCGGTCACCTCTACAGTTAGGTCAATATTGGGTTTGACAGTGGTTACATCATGAAAAATGTGCATATGCTGTTCAAATGTAACGCTATTTACACACACACACGAAAAATGTGCATATGCTGTTCAAATGTGACGCTATTTATATATACACACACAAAAATCTCCCACTGGTGATTTCGATGTTAACTGCATTAAACTCTTCAGCATAACGTATAGTTTATTTGTTTACCTGACAGTACTGCCCTAGCTGCAGTGACATAGGACGCCATGTTTGTTGAGCTGCCTGAGTTGGACATGCGCAGTGGGATTCTCAAAGCCAAGACTACTGCCACCTGATGGACAACCTCAATGTAGCACTTCTGTGAAATGCAGGAAATTTCTGAAAGAACAGTACGAAGCCATGCAGATGTCTTTATGCCAACACTTTTATTTATGAAACCAACACTTTTATTCACTCCATTTCATAATTTTACAAAATGACATGCAAAATAACCTGCAACCAACTTGGAGGTAAGCTTAAGCGTATGCCTCTAATATACAGTTACTTATAATTACTTACTATTATTATTACTTATAGTTACTTACAATTCAGGGCACTTTCCTCAACTTCAAATAGACAGATACCAGCAAACAACTGGAACAAATAAAGTAGCATATTTACACAAGTCAATCTGACAAAGAAAATACCTTTTTTTTTTTTTTTTTTTTTTAAGGATCCAGAATCTAACCTTTGCACAGCAGAGATGATAAACAACTCTACTAACATCTTCAGTGCCTCTATTATGTACGTGTTACATATGAGCATTCATAAACACAGTTTAATATCAAAAGTCACAGAATGGAACAGCGGGATGAAGGGAGGAGTTTAATCTTCCAGGATGTAGTTGGGGTTAACAACTAGAACAGCTTCTTCTTCTGAGCCGGCAGACTCTGAGCCCTTCAGTCCACCCTGGGACAGCTCGATGAGGATGTGGTCCTGGGGAAACAGACGCACACTGTCACTTATGTCCACACTTGCCTTAAAATGACCCACATTTATCTGCTGCTTTGAGAAGGGGGGGGGGACTCACATAGTGAACCAGCCTGTGGATGACCTTCTCTATCAGCCCCTTCTTATTGACAAGCTCCTCCTCAGAGTCGATCTCTGACTCAATCTCCTTCAGATACCAGTTCACCACCACGCTTTTCTTCAGCTCCTCCTCTTCCTCAGCTGTACAGAGGGCATCGGTGAACAGTGAGATTAAACAATATCGATCTCCACTATAGTCATGAAGCAGAAAGAATTACAAATGAGAACTTCTCACCCTCCTCTGCTTTCCGCAGATGCAGCACCAGCAAGTTGGACAACCGTTTGTATTCGGCGAAAGACAGGCGGAGAGACGGCTTGGGCTGCCTGCCAGGCTCAGCGTGGCTGTCAATACCATTCACATGGCCATTAATACCATCCCCGTGGCTGTCAACACCGTTCACTCCGTTAGGAATGTTGCCTCCTGCAAAGTCACATTTGCATTGGATGACTTTTTTCATTACAGATACTACTGGTCAGCACAGCTATATACTGTCTCTACATGTTCATTTGCTTGACGTGTGTACATTTGTTCCCAGGACAGAGTGTGTTTACTGTGGGACAGTACCTTCCTCTTGCCGCTGCTCCTCCTCCTCCTCCTCCAGTTCATCCTCCTGCTCCAGGTTGATGTCAGGTGTCTCCACTCGGATGATTGATTTGTTCAGAAGACGGAACGCTTCCTTCACATGTTTGGGCTGCACCTGGAGACAGAGAGCGAAGCCAGTGGTTATCAAGTGATATGCTTTTATGATACTATGGTTACAACAGATTCTCAGAGTGGTGTCTTCACCAGCTCTGTAGCTCTCCAGGTTTAAAATGTGTAATGGAACAGACTGTTTTTCTCCTCAGCTTTATTGGCCAAATACGTCGATCACATGAGGAATTTGACTCAGGTGCAGTGGCTCTCAACGTGCTTCCATAAGGCAACAAGGAAGTGAATGTGCATTTAGGAAAAAAGAAAAGAGGGGGGGAAAAAAAACTACCTAATACACTTCGCCATGACCAAAAATATTGGTAACCCTGCGTTTCTGTCAGATAACACCATTTCTTCCAGAAAATTGTTGCAGTCACAAATTCTTTGGCATGCTATTGTTTATTTCTTTTGTTTGCATTGGAACAACACAAAAAAGAAAAAACTCCAAATCTGATCCATTCCACACAGAACTCCAAAAATGGATTGGGCAGAATTACTGACAACCTTCTGACACTGGGCCCTACATTGTGCCCCAGAATTCATTGGTAGTCTTCAGATCTCATAATGCCAGACTTTACAGTAGTACAGTGTTCTACTTTCACTGTGTCCATGTGAACCTTCTGCACTTGAACATTTTTTTTTTTTTTTTAAACACGTACCTCATCACAGCAGTGCATACGTGCCATGGCCTCTGACAGGCGGATCATGCTCTCCAGCTGTCGCACTGTTATCCTCCAAGCAGACTTGGACACGCCCCCAGAGCCATCACGCTGACGGAGACGTTTGTACTGCTCGACGATGAACTCTTCTGAGTCAGTGGAAATCTACACATGTACAGTGTGCAATGGTTACTATGAAACACAGGTGTAAATACAATGAAACCCAAGTGAACGGTGTCAGTGCAGACAGACACATGTAGACATCCACCTTAGGTTTGAACTGCCTGGCAAAGAGCAGGTATCTGCGGATCTCATCCAGAGAATACAGTCTGTCCACGGACTCCTCCACACGGGAGTGCAGGTCCACGATGCGTCTGGCGATGGCGTAGTCTGTCACCTAGGATCCACACAGATTAGACTAGGTGACACACTGGGTTGTTACAGCATCATGCCTGCTTCAGACTACATGATTTGTTTGTCTGATACAATGGTCACTGTGTCAGATTACACGATTATAGAGTCAGAAATCTTGGACGATGGATGTCATAAGCTACACGCTGGTACCTGACAGATCACACCCTGACCTCATTCACGACTTGAAGGTGCCAGGGACCAGGAGAAGAGTGTGTGATACTGACTGCTTGCGTTTGGAAAAGCATAAAAATGGGTGGGGGGCAACCGTGGACCTGTCTGTGGGTCGCACAAGGAGTGCAGCAGTCTGTGCTGTCTGTCCTTCATGAAGAAGGTGAAGTAGCAGTTAAAATGCGTTTTAAGCAGGTAGTAAAACTGAAAACTAGCTCGCTAGCCCTGATGGGGTAGCTACTTCTCAAAGCTGACTGTGAAAGCCACTATGCTAACATTAGCTGTATCACTGTGATATTTAATGAATACGGTTCAGTTCAATATGCCAAAAATGTTTTTAACAGAAGAGCCATCTGTGCTCCTGTTGGTCAGTGTCGCCCCACCTCGTAGTAGGCGAACATGCTAGACTTTGTATCCAGACGTCATGAGGCGTCCCAGACCCACCATCAGTGGTCATTTACTATGACACGCTGTAAGAGTTAAAGCAATCGACTATCGTGGTCAAAGCCATCTGTCGGTTCCGATGCCCTACGTCCCATCGTGTTTGGCTGTTATCGGGCTTACATCTTGTAGTCTGAACCAGGCATTAGAAACTAGGATGCAAGAAATATACAGACATAACTAATAATAAAGCAAAATACGAATCAAACATAATGACTGACTATGAAACTGCTGAGTTCAGAATAAAAATGCAAGAAAGAAGAGTTCATAAGTGTATGAAGACACACACAGTGAATGCTCTTTACCTCATTACAGTCATCCACCAGGATGAAGAAGAGGTCGAAACGGCTCATGATGGGGGCGCTCAGATTTACATTCTGCTTCAGACTCTTGCTGCGGTCGTAGCGCCCGCTGACAGGATTGGCAGCAGCCAGGATAGACGTGCGAGCGTTCAGGGTGGCCAGAAGAGCAGAAAGGCTGAGGTTACAAGCATTTCACTGCCATTAACATGGCCGGTTTCTCTTAACCAAAATGAGGAGATGGAAAAGCAAACAGAAACCTTTTGGACATTGTATTTTAAAGTGTGTATTATTAGTTCAGCTGAGCGTCGTTTTGCGTGCCGACTGTTTTACCTTGACCCCGGCCTTGGTGATGCTGATGGTCTGCTGCTCCATGGCTTCATGGATGGCCACCTGGTCCTTGACATCCATCTTGTCAAACTCATCAATGCAACATACACCCTGAAAGAAAATGTGGTTTCAGTACCAGAGAACATGTAATAATAAATAAAATAATAATGTGCTTCAGTTGCCTTTAGAACTGAGAGCGCTCACGTTGTCGGCCAGCATCAGAGCTCCGGCCTCGATCACAAACTCATGGGACTCCTCGTCTCGGACCACAGCAGCTGTAAGACCTGCAGCGCTGCTGGCTTTGCCGCTCGTGTACACCGCTCTGGGACTGAACTCCTCCACGTGTCTGCGTACAGACAGTTATGTTACCGTAACAACTATCACATCTATGCACAACAGTATAAATGAGACTAACAATCATGATGCAACTTTTCAATAAAAGATTTTCATGACACCATCATCTTTTCCAGCAAAAGACAACTTATGAGAAATTGGTACACTTGTGTTACATACTTGAGGAACTGGCTCTTGGCCGTACTCGGGTCTCCAACGATGCAGACATTGATGTCTCCCCTCAGCGAGGTTCCCTCCATGGTCGTCTTGGGAACGCCTCCGAACAACATCAGCAGGATGCCGCGCTTCACTTCGTCATTGCCTGCACAGTCACCATCAGTTTAGTTGCAAACCCCCCGTGTTAATACTTTTGAGGCGTCCCTGGTTAGAGGCGAGGTTCGAGCACTGACCGTGGATGGTGGGGAAGAGGCTGGTGCACAGGTTGTGGTACAGGTTCTTGTCCTGGCTCATCTCAAACACTTTCTCCCACTCCTTCTCAGTCATCTGGCTCTTGATGCTTTCTGCAGTCTGATCCTCTTCACGCAGCTCCTTTCCACCAAACTACAATAGAAAAAGTACGCAATTGTAACTGAGCACCAGGGATGTTTCACACTACTTTGGATCTTTGGTTTATTAGATGTACAGGTGGAACACTGTAAGTACTGTATGATTATGCTTAAAAGCTTTGCATTCTTGTATAAAAATGCATGTGTTTGTTATTTGTCTGTGTCTCTTACTCGTGGGTTGGATGGGGCCACGTAGCAGGCCAGGAAGGCCAGTCTGTATGACAGCTCTCTGACTCCAAGGGCTTTCAGTCCTCTCAAACCCTCGGACTCAAAGCCCTGGGGCCCCCCAGCTACACGGGTACTGGTCTCTGCTCGCACACCTGGAGAAAGAGCACCTATACAGTCATGATGTGTCCAAAAATAAGATAAAAATTATCACCATCTATTCTTGTACTTTCACACTGTGTCACAATCAGTGGCAAGAGGTTTTTCCATTATAGGAACCTACCGAAACATGTCACGCCGAGTAATGCTCGTTACGGGTTCTGCGTTTGTTTCCACTACAGTGCACCCACTTTGGAGGTGCATTCTGGGAGCTAAATTTTAGCACCCCTCAGGGGGTAGCACTAAAATCAAGTATCAGGGATGTGAGGAGGGAGGGGTACGTGCACGCAGAGCAGGAGCTGGTGACTGGTTAAATGTTCACATCTCCACACCTCAAACATTAGCATTACAATCACCATGTGTAAAGACACAGCCGACTCAGTGTGTGAGAGGGGAGCAGCCCCTCCCTCCTCTAAACAGAAATCAACAGAGAGAAAGTACAGTGCAAAACAAAGCATGAGGGTCCATATCAATGTCGGAGGTTATGCTTGGGGATGGCTTAGGGAAGTATTGGATATACAGCTCATTATGTTCCGACAGTGGAAAAAAGCAGCAGCTATTTTCAGGCTTAAAATGGGAGCTGAAACCCGCACCAGGAGTGCTGAGCTGAGAGACGTCCGGCACAACAATGAGGGTCCCAGTGAAGTCGCAGCGGTCTCCGGCCTGAGCCGTCTCCACAGCCTCGGCCCTCAGGACGATATCCAGGGAGCGTGGGATGGAACCACGAGGCAGCTCCGCCTGCGTCTCCTGGATGCGCACCTGAACACAAAAGAGTCAGAAACATCAGGGCCTGCGCTTTCATGTTGTGCACCTCCTTCCTATTTACACACAGTTACCTTCTGGAAATCAATGAACTTGGACTTGTGGGTGTCAAGGTGGAAGCGGGCGCGGTTGTTGCAGACGGGGTTTCTGCAGATGGTTGGAGGGGAGTATTTGAACTGCTGGGGGACGTCTTTGATCACCGCCTGGCAGTCCATGCACAGGAAGCTGCCGCTCACCTGAAACCACAAAGATGCCACTCCAATGAAGAGGCTGTAACATTACTGTATTTGTGCCTTTGTACATTTGCATCTTTGCTGCTGCCTCACACCACTAAATAGCTGTGTGCACCTGCAGTACATCTTACCAGTTCAGGGTGGACTGGGTGCGTCCTCACCACCTGGCCACTGATCCTCACCAGGGTCCCAATACGCATGGATGACAGCTCGCGGATCCTTCGTCAAACACGAAATAAGATTGCATCTAATATTTAACCCTGATTCACTTGTTTAACTTAAATTATGGTAACTGGAAAATTATAACTACATAATTTCTACTCAGACTACTACCAACAGGAGCACAGATGGCTCTTTGCCAACAGACTAATCTGAAATGAACTGAAAACCATGTGCACAATGATTCGCTAAAGAAGCACCAGCTGATTTAGGCTGGTTGTGCCACTTACTTGTGTCTGGTGGGCAGATCCTCGATGGCAACGTAGAACTCTTTGTTGAGAGGAACATTCCCATGATCCAGAGCGAAGCTGCGCACTGCCCGACAGAGGAAGGGATACACTCTGGAAACAGACACCTTCATGTTAGTGCACAGGTGAAGTCTCTGTTAATACACCTGCCTTTTGTTTATTCATCACTACAGACAGTATAACGCGTGTGCACTTACAAGATTAAAGCAGGTGATGCCATTTATAAGTGCTGCTCACTTCACAACTATGATTAGAATGAGGCTGCAAGGTGTAGGACTATGGTTCTTACCATTGCCAACTCTGAGAGACGAGACAGTCCAAGTAACTTCAAAACAGTGCTGATTTATTCAAAGGATCACAGGTAAAATTAACATTACACGCTCAGGTATCTTGCACCTCCAACCTGCTCGCAGGCAGATGTAAGATGAAAGACCCTGAACCCACCAGGCCTATACATTATATCCCCTCGGTTGGGCTAGCCCCATACTACACAGAAACATCAACCGAGACGTCTCTGTTACCAGCTTTGCAGCTGGTCATAGCAGTAGTCAAAACATGAAGCAAATCAATGTGTGTGTCTGTTGGTTAAGTGGTGTGTAGCTAAAAACATTCTCACGACCTCTAGAACATGTCGTGTCTTAAACATAAGAACATATTATGACTAAGGCTACAGTTATACACGTCATAATAATAATATTAAACACCCTGTCTGCTGACAGTCATCAACTCTTCTCTCTAGTTATCCTTGACCAGATGTACCCTGTAGAAACTCATAAGCATGACTAAGCATTTAACAGTCTAACTAGACATCCTATCTCCACTAAACATTTCTAATACATAAAGTATATATCTGACTAAAAATACCTAACAAAGGCAAAGCCGTTTTCATGGCTTGGGGATCATGTGCTGAGCTCACCTGTAGTACTCCTCCTGGATGGTGGTGGCCAGCTCCTGGTTGAAGCCCTCCAGGTCTGTGAAGCTCACCAGCAGGGTGTTCCTTTCGGGCCTGATCAGCTCCTCGGCCTCCCGGACATACTTCACCTCCCCGTCACCGCTATGAAATCTGCACAAAGGCGCAGGAGAAATAATAATATAAGGCATGACCACTAGCCGATCAACACAGCACTGGACCCTCCTAGTTACTGACAGGTGGTAAAAAGAAGAAGCATTATCGTGCGATCAACTCGTGTACACTTCTCTCCGGCCTGGAGCAGTAACGTTACAATAAAGCCTGTTGCTGACGGACTTACTCCTCCAAGAAAGCCTGGAACAACTTCTGGCATTTTTCAGCCAACTCGTCCTTCACCATCTCCCCGACATTCTCCGCGGTCGCTGAGGCTACATCCATGTTAAAATACTGTCAAAGTGCACTAAAAGCTTCCAAAACGTCTTCCGAATACAGAGCTTTAATACACCGGACACACACACAGACAGCACGCTACAGAGCGGCAGTTTCGCGCGAAAAGAGAAACCACGTGACGTTTGGCGCGCCGCTGTCAACCAATTGCAGGTGATATGCAAATATCAACACATCCATACTAGATCTGATTAACCTCTTATGTTCCACAGGCTTTTAAACTTGGTGTAAGGTCTGATTGTCTTGGCTTCAGATTGTCAACATTTATCAACATATGAAATTCTAGGATTGACATTATAATCTGCATTAGCAAATATATCTACATGTTTATTTTAGTATCATATGCATTATAATAGTGTCATATGCCTTATAATCTACTTTTGTTTTAACCAGTTCACTTGTCTTTAAGAATATAGGAAACATGTGTAAGGCTGTAAGGCTGTGTTATTGTGCTTGGGCCTGAAAACCTTAGAAATCTGCTGTCTAATCATATAGTTACTTTAGATGACATAGCTCTTGCCTCCAGTACTACTGTGAGGAACCTTGGAGTCATCTTTGATCAGAATATGTCCTTTAAATCACACATAAACCAAGTCTCTAGATCTGCCTTCTTTCACCTGCGCAATATTGCAAAAATCAGGAGCATCCTGTCTCAAAGTGATGCTGAAAAACTGGTCCATGCATTTGTTACTTCCAGGCTGGACTACTGTAACTCTTTACTATAAGTATATCCCAATAATTCCCTAAAAAGCCTCCAGCTAATCCAAAATGCTGCAGCCAGAGTAATGTTAATGACAAGGCTCCATCGTATCTTAAAGACCTCGTAGAGCCTTATCATCCTAACAGAGCACTTTGCTCTCAGAGTGCAGGTTTACTTGTGGTTCCTAGAGTCCACAGAAGCAGAATGGGAGGCAGAGCCTTTAGCTATCAAGCTCCTCTCCTATGGAACCAACT